CAACAGAACTCAGCAACCATCCAGCTTGACTTCTGTTCTTTAACTCAACTGAAATGCTTTTATTTGTTAGCCAAAGTCTAAGTCTGTAACATTTTTATATTCAGAAATACATAATACAAAGATATGCATATTGTTTTGGGTACTGCTGAGTCAGAATCGACCCAGAGCGGACCCCCGGTGGGTTTTCAGAGGCAGTTAAGTGCACAGGAGGAGACTTCTCATCTTTCTCCCACAAAGAAGCTGGTGGATTCAAACAGTGTGCCTTCTGGATTGTAGCACAGCTTCTAACCAGTAGGCCATCAGAGCAAAAATCATATTAGAATGAGATAAATTATTGATCTATATAGAATTTATTCTATATCTTGACAAGAGTCTTGAATATCCCACGGTTTGTCAAAAGAATAGGATAATATAACAAAGTTATGTGATTATAATGGGATTATAACCACAAGCATCATCTCACCTTATCTCATTCCACTGCTGTCAAGTTGGAAGGGACTCGTAACTGACTCTCTTTAAGATTTCTGAAGCTAACTACACAGAAGGAATTGCCCATATTTCTCTTTCAGACCTACTACTGGATTTGAACTGTCAAAGGGGTCTAGTCTTTGGGTTAGCAGCACAACTTCCTGTACACTGTGCTGTCAGAGCTCCCTAATCACAGATATTGTTGTTGTTCTGTACATTTGAGTCAGAACTGACCCATAGCTGATCCTCTGGCGGGTTTTTAGAGGTAGTGAATTGGATGGGAGATCACTTATCTTTTCCCTGGGCAGCAGGTGATGAATTTGAACTGCGTGTGTTAGAATTTAACAATATGCATTGTGTTGTTGCTGTTTTTCACCACTGAGTTGGAACCAACTGATAGCTGACCCTCCAGCAGATTTCCAGAGGCAGTAATCACATGGGAGGAGATTGCCCATCCTTCACCCACATACAAATTTTAAGGGGACATAATTCAGTACATAACAACGTCTCCCACATACTCTTTTTTAGTTTCAACCATACAATTATGAACATTCTTACATGCACATATCAAACTAAAATTCTGTGAATTTATTTACAGGGCATAACACGGGCAGATGGAAATGTTTCTTTTATTACAGCAGATGTACCTCTTAGAATAATATCCAGTTATACAGGAAACAAATCAGAATGAAAACAACATTGATACAATTTTAAGTTAAAAAGTAATAATTTATTTTAAAATATTTTAAAATTGATAGAATAAAAGGCAAGAAGAACATTGGAAATACTTTTGCCCTACCTAAACCAAAGCAATCCATTTTTATCTTACTAAGTGTGACAAAGGTGATAAAAGACCAGACCCACAATTCACTTACTGGGGGGAAAAAAGAGGAAATTTGGAAAAGATCTAGTCAAACTGTTTCTAAATAGCAGATTTAGCCTGGAGTGGAAAAAAGGATAGTTCAAAAATCTGACAACCAACCCACCAGACATTCACACTGTAAGTCAACTGAAATACATCTCCGAATCTTTAAGGACTAATTCTAAAAACATCTTATATTTGGAAATGCATAATGAAAAGACATATGTCATTCTTAATTTGACATTAAATTCATTGTACAAAGAAGAGTACTGAACATCCCATGGACTGCCAAAAGAACAAATAAATCTACCTTAAAGGAAGCGAAACCAGACTGTTCCTGAGAATTGAGAATGGTAAAGCTTTGGGCATATTTTCAGAAGAAGCCAATCCCTGAAGTGAGATATCATGCTGAGAAAGGGAGAGGGTCAGTGAAGGAGAGGAATATATTCCACAGGGTATGGATTGACACAGTGACTACGACAAGGGGCTTGAGCAGGACAAACATCATGAGAATGGTGCAGGATGGGGTGAGGTTTATATCTGTTCACAGGGTTACTATGACTCATAGTCCATGCAAGGGCACCTAACAACAACAACAACAACAAGAACAACAATACATATAGAGAATGCATCTATAATGGTGTAAGTATGTATACATATTCTTATATACTCACATATGAATAATATGAAAATTTATGATCTTTATTGTAATAAAAAGCCAATTTCCATGAAATAATGCACACACATGCAAATTAAAACCAAACAAATCTCCTATGTTGAAAACCAGAAAATACTATTATTATATAGATGCCTCAGATCAAGCATAAGAATCGGTGTTGTGTCTAGACCAGTATATTGCTAATACTGATAATCTGTTAGGGTTGAGGTCAAGGTTCCTAAGGATATTATGTACAAATTAAATAAATAACTATAGACAAATATAAAACTGTATGGAGTAATGGAGAGTTTACTGGTCTAAACTTAATGAATGTTTGCTGACACTCACGTAGACTCATGTATGAATAGTTCAACTTTGTAATGAAAGGAATGAACTTATTTACTGTAACCTCTTGACAATAGAATATTGCCTTTCTGTGGGAAAAATATTATTTTCTTTCTAGGTAGGAGGAAGCGTATATTATATAAAAAAATCACAGTTTTCCCTTAAATATTTAATGTTTCAAAATCAGTATTAAAAATAGACAGTAAAATATAGCATTATGAGCTAATAGACATAACGAAAGGGGCTTTTAGCACAGAACAATGTTGCCTGAGTAATAATGCAAATCTGTAAACCGTACATGACAAATCACTATATATGGGAAGTAAGGAAACACTGGGCTGCAGCTGGAGGATCCAAACTCATAGAATGGCCTCGTTTGGACCTCAACAAACTTTAGAAGATAAAGGAATAACAAATCTAAAAAAATCATGAATCATATGTATGTAGTTTTAAATAAGTTCTTACTTAAACGTAAGCTGAAAAATTACTAGTTCCAAGAGAACATCAATGGTAGTCTTAGAGTTTCCAAAATCATAAATTAATTTTAAACTCATGTCAATTTTCTCTCTTTAGCAGTTCATGAAGATTTTAAATAACACTATTTATTTAAACTAGTGAATGTAGGCGAGGCCATATACCTTTCCAAATGAATATCTATAATTTCACCACAACATACTTCACTGAGGTTGACTTTAATACATTATAATAACAAGATATTATAACCTTATAATATTTGCCAATTTCTATGGTATAAATTTAGAGAAGTTTATATCATTTTACTCATATAATTTTCAAATATCTTCCAAATCATACCATACTAATTAGCATTCCAATTTCTATTTTAAAAATTAACTAGCATATTCTGTTTATTTCTGGATCATACTATGTGAAAATGATCATACAATATATATGCTAATAAATGATTCTCAGTTCATGTATCCTAATTAGGCTATCACAACAAAAGATCAGCATTGGGCATGAAAAGAGAAATTATAGGACATTCAGACAGGCCATTATTTCTTTATTCATACAATATTTTTCTCCTAAGTTTCTTAATTTTAATGCCATGACTATATTTTAAATAACATACTTTCAGATATATATTTAGTTATGTGATAGCTAACTGACATTCTGAGCTACCAAGCAACCAAACAAAACGGATTTGATTTATAGCGTGTATCTATTTTTATGATATAGATATTCTACCATGTATAAGCTATCAGTGTGATTGCCACAGGAAACAGATTTAGAAGAGATGTGTATAGCATTCTACAGGAAAGTAGTGACAGCATTTCACTGTGAGGTAGAAATTCTGTATTAAGTTTATAGTTGTTCTAATTTATCTGTCAAAGTATCAGGCATTTCTGGGTAGGCTTCAACATATTTCTTTAAGAAAAAGATGGCAAGGCATTTTAGCATAACTTGTCATTTTAAGTGACAATAAAGTCTTATTAAACTCCAATGTCACAAAAATTTTCCAAATACATGTTTCTTTTAAGGTAAATATTTCAAAGAAAGGCTGTAGGTACTTCATGATAAACAACGATCATTATAAACAATAACCTCCAAAGCTTGCAAACTGTACTTCTGTTAGCAACTTTGGAAAATGTAATGACCAGGTTACCTTCTCAGCATTGAAATTTAGCATTATATAGTATAAGGAAATTTATTAGGGATATAGTTTTGAAAAAAATTATGAAGTTCATATCTAATACTTAGCTATATATGTAAAGTTAATGGTTATGTGAAAATTTTTATAAATAAGGTAAGCAGTGTCTAAAAGGAGATAATATCTTGCACAAAATAAACATAGAGCTAAAATATAAATATTTTATATATTGCTGACCTTTAATCTATTTTATTTAGTCAATTTTGTTCTTGTCATGGAAGTAGCTATGTTCAGTACTGAATGTGGCTGTGTTTAAAAAAACAAAACAAAACAAAACAAAACATTTTTCAGTACAGAGGAGCACCTTTCAACCAAATGACAAGTCTACAAAGTGAACAATAATACAGTGAAGAAAGTACAAGTCAGAATAATCAAAGGGCTAGTGTTTTCCTGGAAGAGAGTAAAAGAAATAAAAAAAACAGTGGGAACAGGAAAATAGGTGAAGTGGGGGAAAGGCAGAGCACTATTACTCTGAGGGGATCAGAACTAATATTATAAAACAAAATACCTAGAACTTTTGAGTGGAAAATGAATTTGTTCTGTAAACTTTTACCTAAACCACAATAAATGGGAAAACATCGAAAATATTTTCTATAAAAACAACTAGTGACTGTGTTTGGTCTACAGGCCATATACATATTTTGCTGATCCTTGAATTTAGCAAATATTGAATAATGTTAGGTAGTTTACAGCTTTTCTTAATACCAATGAATCTTTAATAACCTTTTAATCAAAGTGGCTTTTTAAATAAAATTGCCTCAGTAAGAAAAAAAAATTGTATAGTGCTTTTTAAATAAGAGAATTCCAAAACCAAGTGTCATAAAAGGACAATGCAATTGATAAAAAAAAATGTGTACATGTTCTTATATGTTATTGTGTAAAGATTTTAAATCTAACCTTCAGGAGAGAGGTTCAGCCTAGAGTGTAAAGAAAGAAAAAAGCATGTATTTAATATGAGTAAATTAATTTTAATTTACTTCGAAACACCTTTTTCTTACCTTCCATAAGCTTCCCTGTTTGTTCTGCAATCCCTCCAGGAAGAATCTTGGCAATATAGGCTCCAATTTCTCCGCTGTGTCCAGGAATTTCTTTACCACCGACAATTCTGATTCCTAATCCATTCCCTAAATTTAAAAATTATAAATTATTAGTAATAAACTAAAAAGAAATAATATTAACTCAACTAATTCATTGTCACTTAATCAGAGGCAACTCATAACTGACTCTTCAGTGGGTTTTAAAGAGGCTGTAAATTTGCATGAGAGATTTCTCATATTTCTCCTGTGGAGTGTTTGGTGGACTCAGACTTACAGAGACTACACCACTGGGTTAACAGTGCAATTCGCTATGGACTACATGACCAGAGCTCCCTAGGCAGGGGAATAATGCAAATTAGAAGGTGAACAAAAAGAAGCTGCAAGTTAGGTATCCTGAATGTATATATAGTCCAGATATCAAAGAGGTGATCAATCCTAAAAGTACATTATTCTGATTTCAAGAAAAAGTTGCTATTGGATGAGAATTCCAAAGAACATTTATTAGGATCTATAAAAATTAACCTAACATATTTGGATAATATTAAATTTGATAGATACTATCTAATACTGTCGATGGATAAAATTTAAAACATAATCAGTTAAGATTCCATAAAGTGGTGGCTGAATTTTCTTTAGTTGGAAATACAGGTTTAAGCCCATGTCTAAATGCTAACATTCCTTGTATAACATAGCTGGTGTGAGAATATATAGCAAGGAATTTAAAATTAGAGCATACACATAACCCAGAAATAATGATTTTAACACCATGTAATTTTAATTATAACACCATGTGGTTCAGGCATATGCTTTGATGTATTGTTGTTATACTTATGTAAAGGCTTTCAGAACTTCAAAGTGAATTAACTAAAATAATCAATTAAAATGTGTTATTGTTACATTTTTGTAAAAGGAGCAACAGCAATGTGAGGAAGGCCAAATTCAAACTCTATTAACTGGACAAGGACAATTTTCCCCTCAATAACATCAACAGTATCACCATAATAGCTACAAGGTTATATATGGCCTCCACATGCTCCTACAAGCTTTAGCTACTAATCACTGTCCAATGTTTGTTGCAAATTGACTCATAGACTTTATTTTACTTATGGCTGTGGGCTTTATGACGGAAAAAGGTTGGGGGTGAGGAAGTAAATGATATTACACAGTCAATGTCCACTTTTAGTTCAGTAGTTCCAACTCAGATTAACAAAATATAATTCCTCAATTAGTTTTGACAGCTTCTCAATCAACAAAATAAGTCCAGGTTCAGTCTAGCAACACAAATACAAGAGCTTCTGGCTTCCAGCAAGCATTGTCTCACTGTGGTCACAGTAATAAAGGGCTAATGGGTCATATAAACCACAGCTTCAACAATCCTGAGACCAGAAGAACTAGATGGTGTATGGTTAGCACTACTGATTACTCTGACCAGGAGCACAATAGGAAATATTAGAAAGAGTGAGAACAAAAGGTGGAACAAAATTAAAATTCATAAAAAGGATTAGACTTACTTACTAGTCCGAACAATCTACGACATGAGACAAAAATGTAGGAAGTTAAGTCTAATGGAACTGGGGAACTCAACGTGGAGATAAAGCGCGATTTCCTGTGACTGAAACTAACGTCATGGAACAATTTGTGTATAAATTGTTGAAGCAAAATTTTCCTATAAATTTTCATCTAAGTCACCATAAAATATTAAAAAAAAATCGAACAAACAATAAAAAATCCCACATGTGCCAGAGTAGATACGTAAACCATAAGATTGTCAATGGATGACATAGAATATCAGATTTTTTTTCCCCTAACATGCTCCCACAGTCAACACTCTCGGCACCTGTAGCCAGGAAATTAAAAGACGTATTGCCATGGCAAAGTCTGGGGTTAGGGACCTCTCCAAAGTACTGAAGAGCAGTGGTGTCTCTTTGGAGACTAAGGTGCATCTGATACAGGCCATGGTCTTTGCAATCACTTGTTAATGTATCAGAGAGTTGGACAATGACTAGGGAGGATAGAAGGAGAATTGATGCCTTTGAGCTGTAGTGCTGGAGAAGAGTATTGAGTGTACCATGGACTGCTAGGAAATCAGATTCATCCTGGAAAGAGTCAAACCGGGTGGCTCCTCAGAGGCAAGGATTCTGAGGCTTTGTTTAACATATTTTGGACACGTTGTAAGGAGGGACTGGTCCTTGGAGAGGGACATCCTGCTTGGTAGGATGGAGGGACAGCACAGGAGGGGAAGGCCCTCTATGAGGTGGATTGATTCAGTGACTGGTGTAATCGGGATGGGTGTATCGGAGATGGTGCAATTGGCACAGGATAGAGCAGGGTTTAGAGCTGTTGCACATAGGGTCGCTATAAGTCGCAAGCGACTCGATGGCACATAATAACAACAAACAACAACATACTTCCATCTGTACTGAACCACCAAGTTGATTAAAAGACACATGTTATTATGGTTTATACACAAAGGGACTTGCAATATCACACAAAATTGTTTAAAAATTTGTGAAACAATAACATGATCAAAAAAAGGAAAATATTTTTAGTTTGTTTCATAGTAGTTGGTTGTACCCTAGTTTTGATGCAGATGACAACTTTTTTTAAATCCACATTTCAAAAAAATAATTTTTTCTTTGGTCTTCCTTATACATTATCCAGATTTCACATACTACCAAACAACTGAAAAGACAATGGCTTGTGTCATGTGCACATTAGTCTTTAAACTGACCTTAGTCTTTATATTTATTTAACAGTTCACCATTTCTAGGCAGCAGATTTGACTAAAGTGATAGATCTCCTGACTGCTGTTTCTATGAATGTTGGTGGAGGACCCACGTAAAAAGATATAACTAATAACTTCAATCTTTTATATTTTTATTATGATATTTAACAGTCTATTTGTGAGAATTTTTTGGTTTTTTTTAGGTTGAGGTATAATCTATACTGATAGCTATTGTCTTTGATCTTCTTTAGTAAGTGTCTCATGTCCTTTTCA